CATCTTCAACGAATTGGACACAATTAAACAGTATAGTAAGCCAATGCATTATAATGTGAGATGCCCCCGAAACCTTTATACATTGAAGGTGCCACAGTAAAGCTCAAAATCTGTTTTTGGAGAAATCCACATCTAAACCCTTACAAACTCCCAACACGGTGTTCATGGGTGCTGAAGGTGGAATTGCTTTTTTAACTCACTAAATTTGTTATACTTGCTTTGAATGCCCAAGGACGATACATAATGGCAAGCATGCAGTGGCAAAAAAATGGAAGATGAGGGGTGATGAGTGAGGCAGAGAGAACAGGCGAGTAAACAACAGTGTCTGTCTGAGATTCTCCGCCGTTTCAAGGCTCCTGGTGGCTCAGAGGTTCACTATGGCCTCAGCCAACCTCGTCGCCGTACAGTCTCAAGGCCCAGCTACAGTCTGTCCACACACACACACACACACACATTGAAGGAGCTATTGCCATGGGAACCAACCCCTCCATGACTATTCCCCTTCTCAGGAGAATAATAGGTACCAATCTTTCTCAACCTCTCTCTCTTTCATTGTCAATTCCTCTCTTTCTTCAGTTTTTCTGGTCGCTGTAAGCTCTCACCCCTCTTCATCAGCAGGACCGGCCCCCTCTTTCCCCTCGTCCTCCTCTTTTCTCCCCTTCATGTGCAGAAGCAAAGCATGTCCTCCAGTTCCCCTCCTCTCCTCTCTGCATGTCTTTGACAGTCATGAGTTTGATTTGTAATGCATAATCTATCCACACTGGGATTACAGTACAGTACTCACAAGTGAAAAGCAAAAACATTATCTCAACCCAACCTGCACAAACACTACGTTAGTTGTTTTCAAGCTGCAGCCAAAGAAACATGGTGAAAGAGGGATTGTTTGTCATTTCAAGAAAGCAGGAGAGAAAAATACTTGGTTAAAAATAGATAATTCTTTGGTTCCCCCCTTTTGCTATTTTTCTCTAAAACACAGAGGGGTTTGAAGAGATCTCCTGTGAGTGACTCATTGCTTTCTGTGAACTTGCTCCAGGCAGGTCATTTTTTATTAAAGCCAGCTGAAGCCAAGTTCTTAGGTTTTCAGACACCCTATCGACATGTCCATGTTGAACATTATCCGATCAATACTGCTGCAGTTTTCTTGACCACCCATTACAACAGGAGTCAATTTGCCAAATAGAAATATCAAGGGGGATCTTTGGTTTGAGGCTAAGCTACTACACGAATGGCTGAATATTGGCTCTTTTGTTTTCTGTCTTGCCTGGAGGACTCATCCAAATATGCTGTCTCAGGTCTAGGGCAATGCCAGAGGCTTGAATAACTTAGTATCTTCAAAAGCACGATCACTGTCACCTAGAACGGGAGTAAGGGAAGAATAATCTTTGCCCGAGATCTTGTAACTAAGCCTTTCAGAGGGAAAAGATGTTGACTTGCAGCGGAGGTTGCAATCAAGATGACACCATGCCATGAGAACTGCAAAACTCACGCCTCATCTACGTGTGTCACTCAGCCACGTTTGCTGCCCAAAGTTTATATTACTGCCAATGAAGATGCCACATCCGATTTCTGTAACAAATGACACCAGAGTTTCTATAACTAAAACTTAAAAAAAAACCCACCTGAAATTAAGCATATCTATAAAATACAGACAACTCTGTCAACCAAAGACTTACATGTAGGTTGTCATTATCAAATTTTTGTACTCCCTTTGATTTTGCAAGAGTAGATGTCACCTTCCGGCAACTTATGTTTGAATCAAATCCTTCATATGTTCATATTTCATCATGTCCCAAATATGAAGCGTGTGCGAGTTTCTCTAGAATTAAACAAGTGCCGCATGAAATGAGGCAAGAATGAAATTAAGAAGGTTTAAAAATAACTACCTTTCAATTAGATGTACCCTAAATTTTTCTGAGTATAAAATGTTCTCGTATTTTGTTATGTCTGTCTGTGGGTGTTTGTCTATACATACTGCGTGGAGAGGAGTACACATTATGGTTTACATAAGCCAACGCTTGCCAATTACCTTAATCAAATCTCACACCACACAGGGGGATTACATACATAAGTTGATTAAAATACATGTTTGCTTAAAGACTGGAGGTAAATCAACACAGGCTCAGAAAATAGACAAACTGGTGGCAAAAGGTAAGGATTCAGAAGGTTAATGAGTAACATCTGAAAAACTCCAGTATTCAGAAAGTATCAAACTGCCCCCAATTCTGGGTTCAAACGAGAGAGAATCACCACTTGATCAGGTCGTAGCTGTCGAGAGCTTCTTCCAGCCCCCAATATTCACTCTTTGACCTGTGTTTGACATAACAATAACCTAAACAATAGCTCAAACTACAAAAGAGGATGAACTGAAGAAGTGAAAATTAGTAGCGGTGTTTCAATGGAGGTTTCTTATCTTAACCAAAGAAAAGGACAAGAGGCAGAAGGCAGCAGAGGAGGCAAGGAGGTAAATAAGAAAGGATGAACTTAAAGCTTCAGAAGACACCAGTCTACATTCACCTACAGCTATCCGTCATGTCATCATGTAGACCCATGCTGTTCAAATATGAACAAATATGAACAGCATGCAAGAGTTTACCAAATAATCTCTTGTTGAAGCTGGAGAATGAGTAGGCACAAGTGAAATAGAGGAGAGTGAGAATTTATCATTTTAAGTCTATGATCATAACAGCTTATCCTTTCGTGTAACATTAAATCATCTAGGATTTAAATGCTTTAAAATGATCACTTCATGGTCTCTCCTGGGTGGAACTATCTGCAGAACAAATGTTGATAAAATTATTAATAAAGAATTGTTAGTTCTTCACTTTCTAGTAAGCCATCACCAAAGGTTAGTAGGTCATTTGCAATTCTAAATGTTTGTAAGTAATTAATACAAGGTTTTTACAACAATCCATCAAGTCTGCAGTAGTATGTTAAAGGTCCAGATATTTCAAGTCTTACTTGAAAGAGTTATTGGTCACTGTAATCATTCCTCCTGTCCATACTGGCATGGAGTGAACTGCAGCAGTCTGTTTTAGCCAAATCATGTGGGTATCTTTAGCTAAGTTTCAAAAGTTTTTGTGTTATAACGTGATAAGTTTGTATGTAGCAATAACATGAAAGTATCTTGTCTTAACAGAAAATATGTTTATTTCCAGTTATAACAAAAAAAAATTCACATTATAATATGATACTGATCTTTTTTTATTTTTCTGGTGTGGCAGAAATATGCTGCCATCCTACATACCAGTAGGTAGGTTTATTGTCACAATATAACAAGTTATAGAGTGAAATTGAGTTTTGTAACTCCCTTCTGCTACATAGCAGACAATATACATTAATAAAGAATCAATTATGAAAAATGGTAAACAGAAATAAAATATCATCACTCAACAGCACCTCTGATGTAGACAGGAGTTTGATGGGTGAATTAACACTTATCGTAATGGTCTCGTTACCTTTTGCCGTGCATAATGATTAGTTTTCAAAGTAACAGTGTTGCGTAGTGAAGCCCAAACCCCAATCCCTTGCGCATTTCCAACAGCCGAGCTGCAGAGTGGCCAGTGTGTGCAGCCATTGTGTGTGTGTGTGTTTTACATCTGTCTGTATTTGTGCTCCTACGTTTATGTGATCATGACGTGTATGTATGCATGCTCATGTCTGTGGTACTGCAAGTGTCCATTTCATGTCACATGTATTCATTACATTTACCCCCTTGATTTACATACTTCACAAAGAGCACATGGCTTTTGTTCTCCTTACACATGTGTTTTTGTGTGTACAGTTTGCATTTACAGTGTCAGGGCATCTGTAAATGTGTGTTTCGGTTTTTATTCGAAGCTAAATGTGTGTATGCTGAATATATGTGTTGTGTGTATGAATTTGTATAGGTCAGGTTTCAGTGTATGTATTTACAGTGCTGCCCATATGCTGTATGCCTCTTGGGTGATTTTTGCAATGTTATCAGTTTGTGTTTTCCATGCGTGTCTGTGTATGTGTGTGTGTGTGTGTGTGTGTGTGTGTGTGTGTGTGTGTGTGTGTGTTTTGGTGTGTGTGACAGACAGACTGAGACAGAGAGAACTCCTGACTCCTGACCCACCAACACTGTAGAGCTAACGCAGCCCAACGCTCCACAACTCACCAGCTGGAACTAATTAACAGCAGTTCAGTCAGACTGGGCTCTCTCACTGACTTTCTCTCTCTCTTACACACACACACACACACACACGCACACACACACACACACATGGATCCCTCCTCTTCCACTGGCTTTTCCTCTCACTCATGCCTCCGTCTTCCTCCTCCCTGACACCCACCCTTCCTTCACATTGTGCCATCGTTCAACTTGTTTTCCCCTTTAAACCTTCTCTTTTCGTACACGCACGCATGCTTGGATGAACTCATGTACCACAGCACATAGTCTATGCATGTAAACATTAACTTGTACAGACCAACACGGACCAGACATATCAGCACATACGCTGCACAAAACAAAATACACACAGGGAAACCCACACTTTTACCCTTCATAAATACAGTACAGTAGCTCACAAATCACACACTCCCCCGTCTCTCTGTTCACTAGTGGGAGTGGTGTGATACTGTACCCCAGGCACATCTTGAAACACTGTCAGGGTTCAGTCTGTGATTGGATCCAGGTAGATGTTTTTGGCATTCTCAGCCTCACTCTGTACCATCCATCATGCATGTGACTTCAAAACAACCAAACCTATTGATGTGCATGATGAATGGCCAGAGTGTGTTTGTGCTCACAAACATGTGTGTGTGGTAGCAGTGGATTTAGAGCTAGTTGTTGAACACAGAAGCCAAACTTGTGGCTTGCGGCATCGTCTAATGAATCAACTCTCAGTGGTAAACAATTGCCGCCATGCAGTCCAAGTTTACAGTGGCAGCTGTCCAGGGAGTACAGTAACACATCTGTTAGGAAGTTCAGGTTCATACACTTGTTGAGAAGCTGTTACACAAACAGGAAGCAAACATACCTGTTTTACAATCTCGTTGAAAAGTTCACTGCTTGGACACGAAGGCAGCAACTGGACCACAGCTTCCAGCAAAGAAACGCATTCTACTTGGAAGGAGACCAGTACAAAGAGAGGATGGAGAAGAGGTTCTGCTGACAGTGGTTGCTGTGGAGCCGGCTGGCTTAAAGGAAACACAATCCTCAGGCAGGCAAACAGAGAAACCAGATCGTACGTTGGCTCTACAGGCACAGCAACAGCAGCTCCAGCGGTTTGCTTCTTCTTCCCCTTCGCCACCTAATGGAGCTCAAACACACTTGTAAGCTTGGTGTGTTTAGGTCATGCTCAAAGTATGCCTGTATACCGATGTTCTGCAAGCTCAGGGAAACCACATCCTGTCACATATTTACCTCCCCCTCTGTCTCTCACTCCCTTTTCAGGCTATCTTTGTGGTGTTTTTTCTCTGTATATGTATGTCTCTTTTCCTGTGTCTTTCTCTCGCTCTCCTGTGATTGTCTGAAGCAACTGAGCGCTCTGACCCAGCGTCTGTTCAGCACAGCCTCTCTGCCTATCTCTCCAGCAGCCGCACCAGTTCCACTCGGCTGACTGAAGAATCCATCTGAGGAGAGGAGGGGGAGAAAAGAGGGGAGGGAGAGGAAGAGGGAAGGGGGCGGGGATGACAGAGGGGAGGTGGGGTGGGGGCTTCACTGGGAAATACCAGATTTAGAGACAGGGAGGAGAAGGAGGAGGAGGAGGAAGGCCGGGTGGGTGTTGTTTAGGAAGTGAAGGACTAAAGAAGGATGGGCGAACAGAAATAGTAATCAATAATTTGTTTTAGAGAGAAATGGAGACAAGTATAAAGAAGGCAGTAGAAGTCAACATAGTACATCAGTACAGTAATCACACACACACACACACACACACACACACACACACACACACACACACAGAGAAAAGCCTTGTGTCACTATCTTCGTGGGAACCCGGAGTTGACAGAATATCTCCTTATCAAAGTCTTAACCCTCAAACAGTTCTTTAAACTTTTATGGTGGGCTCCTGGTTTTTGGACTCCACAAAAACAGTAAACCCCCCACCCGCCCCCTCCATACACACATACACACATACACACACACACATCTGTATTCAACAAAACAACCATCATACATGTACCCTTTACCCTTTTTTAGTCAAACTTAATGTCCCACCTCCTAAAACCACTTCAGCCATTCAGACAGTGTGCACGTGCGGATCTACGTGATTTTCAGTACTTCTCTCCTCTGTAGTGGTTATACATATTTAATATGTCCGGGTCAGGACCCCCTCTAGCTCTGTATTTATTATTTAAACAAGTTTGTATGAGGGAACACCCCTCTGGAGGAACACCAGACTTCTGACATAAACTGTTTCCACCACAACAACTACTGCTCAAACAACAACAACAACAACAGAAATCAATGCTGGTACAGAGAATCTTTGCTGGATGAGAACACAAATCATTGCTGACATCAGGAAGAAGTTTCTGTCTGTCTGTATCAACTCTCTGCAATCAATTGATGGATACACTATATGACTGTATGATTTGACCCTGGCTGGATGTTCAGCTGACTGTGATGTAAAGAATTTGATGACAGTTTTCATTGTTGAATATTTTTCAGCATTTCAGATTTTAAGCTAACTTAAAGCAGCTAAAATCTATATTCTAATGTTAACAATGAATAACAATGAGAATTATCATCCAAAACTTCCCTCAGCTCTACTGAGCTTTTTTTTTCCCAGCCTGCAACTTGACTGTTCGTTGTGTCATTGTTGCTCACAGCAGCCAGCTGTTTTCAGTGCAAAAGCTCTGATAAATCCACTGAACACTGCCTGCCCAATACCAAATGCTTGACAACAACATCGCAATAAAAAAACATAATGGAGTAATAAGCAGCTAAAGAACCAGATGTTTTCCACAGTCGGAAGAGGCCAAAACAACGCTACCAGAGGGAACACTAGACTTCCATTCATAACGTGGCCAGAAACACTACAATGCGAGAAATTAATGCTAATGTTGCTCCATATCTGTTGGTGGTCTCATAGAAAACTGTCAGCTATTATAACCTGGTTCAGTGTGTAAGATTTAGTGGCATCTTGTGGGTAGGTTGTGAATTGCAACCAACTTTCCAGTCTACCACTGCCCCCTACCCTTTCAAAGAGTGTAGGACAGCTACGGTGGCTGACACAGCCCAAAAGGTGTAGAAATTATATTTACTTAATTATTATTGTATTATATAGATATATTATTGTGACTTGGCCACTGACAGATAACATGGAAAATGTAAGCCAACAGTGTGTAACATTGTCACTATTTTTGCACCACAGTCCATTATAAACCACACATTAAATAAAGTTTATACAAACATTGACAAGGGAAACACATTAATTCTCTCTGTGATTATGGATCATTGCCAAAACTGCCCGCCAGCAATAATATCTGGCCTGTGGCCAGATTATGGTGCTTTTATAGTGGCAAAAAATATAAATACTTTGATAGCGGTGCTGAAATAGATCTCAGTCATGACAACAACAGTTACAGTCCCTAACAGTCACATAATCACTTCCTCTTTAGTTTTTTTGCCTACAAAATAAAGAAGCTTGTTTACTGTAATGCAGTATTTGGAGTAGAACTGAGCTTTTACTCAGTTCTGAACGACATTAAAAGAGTCTGTGGCCTGCTTGACACACCTCTGACAAAGCCGTCAGAAAACATGGTTCCCCTAAATGTCCTCTGCCTGAAGATAATGGGGAATTGAAAAAGCGTGTGTAGGTTGATGGATGTGGATCAAACACCGAAACAAAAACATTGCAGCACATGCCGTGGTCTGAGAAACATTTACTGCAGAGAGAAAAAAATGTCCCAACTCTTAGGTTACAAGCTCTGTGCTTTGCCAATTGAGCTAACCAAATATGTTATCAAAAGTCAATATTATGTCTTATATTCTCATTTACCATCTAATGGTTGAAAATATTGCTCGGATGCAAAACTTATTTGCCAACTGTGGTGTCCGAACAATAATGCTGCGATGATGTGTTGAGAAGAAATCCGCTTGACACTGTCCTTGATCATAAAGTTTATTAAATCAAGGAGTTCAGCATCAATTACAAGCTCTGCAGCAGCTTGGAGAGTGACCCAGCCCGATGGCCATTCTGTCTCTCTGTACATCAAACATAGCTTATATAGGATATGTTTAGGTATCTGTTAGGTACCATAGAGGGGTTTGAGTCTACAAAATAAAAGGTCAAACCCATAGAAGGGTACAGTACTATTCTGAGGTAACAAAACAAGGGGTTAGAGGTCAAATTCTATAGAAGTGTTCAGTCCCTACATAACCACCAATCACTGCTCTCCCCGTAGAAGGTCACTGACCCTCTGTCAAGCTGCTACAGTGCTATTTTGAACTGTTATGAGTCAAATGCATAAATATTGGATACTACACTCCTGCTGTATATCGTTACTTCTTCTTCTTCTTCAAACATACGTATTCAACATAGTGATGAGAATCTACACTGCCTGAATTCTACCAGAAGTAGAACAAGAAGAACGTAGTGATAGTGCTCTGTAGCGCTGTTTGTCCGTTTTCAGCTACCATAGAAACATGACGACGCAACATGGCAACGTCCATGGAAGGGAGTGCCTGCGGTTATGTAGATATAAATGGCTCATTCTAAGGTAATAAAAACATAATGATTTATTATGTAAGGTCTTTACACACCACTGAAAATATGGTTATGGATATTATATTGCATTTCTGTCAAAAGATCCTCAGAAACACACTGAACCTTTAAAGGGTGATGATCTGTTAATGTTATGTTTACAGTTTGTTTCTTCTGCTCCCAAGTGTCCAAGTATTACAGTAGCAGTGCAGCTAAAATGGACACAAAGAAAAGCATGATGATGACATTTTAACAGGCATGGTTTTTGATTTTCTGTTTCATGCTTTAGTTTTTTACAAGGAGTCGGTGTGTCACTTGTGTCTGGAAAGAGGCACAAGGGTTGAATTGGATCAAGGGGTGTGAAATGGGTTGAGTGGGAAACCTTGGTTTGAAGAGAATGACACACAACTACTGAAAGAAAAGGAATACTCATTTGGATTATTATTTATGAGTGAAAAGTCTTCATCCTCACTTTCAAAGTAAGTAACCAACATTTTTTTAAAAAGATTGATGGTTCACTCTTGATCTAGAAATCAGCAGTTTGGGTTATAATCTGGGGCTGTAAATTGGAGATTTAAATTTTGTTATTTTTTTGCTTGTTTTTCTCACAATAACAGACATATCTTAAATACTGACTGTATCTGCAACATCTCTATTTTTAATATCATCTTGCAGCCACCTGCAGCGTCTTTTCAGCCAGAATTATTGACAAGGACGATAAAGAGACTAAGTTTTTGTTTTGCCAAAATCCATTTGGTTCCTTTCCAGCACGATTTGGCCAGGTCACTGATTCAGATTAGGATCTTTTACAGTGGTGACTATTTTAACAGCCCTTGGCATCTGTTTCTCAAGGATGTTGTGAAAGCTTTGGCACTGTTTACACAGCACTTTGCAGCTGTTATACAAAAAATATAAAGATGCCATGCAAGCAGCGTCTGTCTATCAGACCAAAAATTTGTTCCAGTCTGAAATATCCTGACAACTGTTGGATGAATTGCCATAAAATTTGCTACAGCTGTTTGTGATCCCCAGCAAATTAATTCAATCCCTTTGGTGATCATCTGGTATATTCATCAGGTAAATATTTTATATTATATTGCTGTATTTTAATATCTTCAATATTTTGGTTTATGATCAAACACGTAAAACAAATTACATTCCTATCAGGTTTATCTGTGTTGTGTTTACCGCTAATTAACATGTTAGCATACTAACATACTAAATTAAAACAAAGAAAGTGCTTTCTCTTTCTCTTAAAGGATTTTACCTTTTAAGCATGTTCTCACCATAAGCATGTTAGCATACTTAAGTTAGCATTTAGCACAGCACTGCTGGAGAGAATTTTTTTTCCTACAGGAGGTCCAACCTGACAGAGCTGCTAGCATGTCTGTAAAGTTAGACTATTGTTAATCTGCAACATCTGCATCTGAGATCTATCTAACAAACACAAAAAGGCTACTGAAAGCATATCCTCCTTGAATGAGGTGTGAACTTAATGAAATGATGAAATGCAAATAAAAAAGATTGCGTGTCAAAAAGATGAATAAAATAAAACAGAGCTGAATAACAAGAGAGACAAATGATGACTTGCTTTTTGATGAGTTGCTATAATTACTGCTGCACATACTGTAATTAGACTTACTAGCCCTGCACAATGTGATTATGACATTGGGCTCTTCTCAAAGTCATTTTTAGCCTGACAGGGGATTCACTCGCTCATTTACCGGGGCTGTAGCTGCCTTTTCAAGGAGAGCCCTCATTGTGTCGCTCAGACGTTTTTACAAGAATCTAACTCCAGGCCGCAAATTAATGATATCACTCTTTTAAAGATGGAGATTTCCTTCCTCCGTTTGCTGTCACATCAGGAGCCCCATTCGACTCTAATCACTCTTCTTGAAAGCAC